TCACTGGTTGTTAAGATAATGTAGTTTAAAGATCATGTTTTAGAGCTGCCCAGACACTTTTAGCAGGTTGGTGTATTTCCAACATTTTGTTTATCTCTATTGGCGGAGATTATTTCTTCAGTTTCTTCAAAAGTTAAATCATATGAGTTCAGCTTTATTGTTAAGTAGAACACGAATAGACTCATTATTTGATGTTTGTCTAGTAATTCCATCCAGAGTTAACACCATTTTTACAAGTTTCGCTTTTCTTATACGCAAGATATGCTAGAAGTTCAATGATTAAAGTTTTTTTATAAAAGTTCTTAATGATTATAAATACTTAAAATTTCACTTCTTCATCTGATTTGTCTGCTCTTTTCCCTTTTTTCAACGCTTTATAAATTAAAAATTTTTTTTGAAATTATCTCTCATTTCAAGCATTTTAAAGTTTTATCATATCGTAAAACTTGTATTTCATCTATATTGATAAGATTTTTTCATATTAAAAATCAAGTATTTATACTATTTGCGAAACTTAAAACACTTTATTTCAGCATGAATTTCTTAGAAAGTAATTTCTTTTTTTGTCATAGCGTTTACTTTTTTATTTTTACTATTTATTCTGGTAATTAGATGTGAAAATTCTGTATTTATCACATAATTAATTTCGGTCCAGTACTATAAAGCCAGTCAAAATTTAGTATGAATGAAATTTTTTTGATAAAATGATCTGGGGACTCATCCTTACTATAAAGTTGATCTGTGTAGAGTTTGGAACTGAATTTGATCTTCAGATATAAATCTGGTTTTCCATAGTTTAGATTTAAAACTGGATATAAAATTTGCCTAACAGAAAAACTAGATTTATTATATCCAGATTTATTTAAATCCTGGTGTTTAGTTATTTTTGATCATTATATAATATACGTCACAATTAACTAAAAACAATTTATTTATATTAGATTGGCTAAACATTTATGTATAAAAGCAAATTCTTAATTTAGAAACCCGAAAGTAATATTATACTTCAAATTTTGGAACTAGTTTTATTTTATAAAGGATATTTATAAGCAATGCTGAGACCCTAATTTTTTAAGTGTAATTAATGTAGTTTGCATCAGGACTAATAATAATGCATAATTTATTAAGCTATTGTAAAATAAGACAATACAATAAAAATATTTTATTATGTGATTGAATATTCGTATAAATACAATATAAAGTAGTTTTTATGATTTTTTGTTTTTTAATTTTTTTTAATTTTTAATTTTATGTTACATAAAAGAAATAAAAAATTGTATTATATAAATGGAAATCTTGTTCGTTCATTTTCTCTTTTAGATTATCATTAGTTTAGTGCTAAAATTAATATAAATAATGTTAGATACTGAACGCACTATTTCTGATTCTTCCCATCTGTTTTTAAACTATCCCAATCATAAAAAACGTATAAATCCTTCAACTATTAATAATAATAGGATTAACGAAAGTCATACTGCCTATTTTTTTCGTAAAGATCCTAAAAATGAAAATATGGCCTATTGTATGATTTGTGAGAAAAATCTTACTAGCACTAATATAAAACCTTATCCTTATAGTCAACATACAACATAAAGGTTCAACTTCGAATATATCTAGTCATTTAAGAGATAAGCATAAAATTACAAAACACAATTATAAAGCATATTTGAATGCAAATAATAAGGTAAATATTGTAATGAACTTTATATTATTTTTATTTAATTAATTAATAATATTTTATTTTATACTAGCCAAAACAAGATCAAGCACAAATGACAGATTATTTTTCTCAATGTAATAAAGTTTGATAACAAGAACTCAGTCAACTTTTAATTAGATTTATAATTCATTTTGTAATTCCCTTACATATTCTTTAAAATAAATATTTTTGAAAATTTGTTTCTGCATATGATTCTGAATTTCAAATTTCATGTAATAAAATAGCAAAAAACATGATATACAAAGCTTACTATTGGAGTTCAGATCAATTATATAATTTACTTGAAAGCACTATTATATCAGTTCATTTAACAGTGGATCTCTGGATCGCTAAAAGTAATCATGAATACATTAGCGTAATAGCAACATGGCTTACATCTGATTTCACATTTCATGAAGTTTTATTAATTTGCAATTATTTAGTATATTAACATACGAGAGAGGTAAAGTAATATTAATATTTTTTAATTATTTTTTTTTAATTTAATCTTTTCTAATTTTTATAATTATTTTATACAGGTAATTCGTGAAGAGATTTATCAAATTATTGAAAAATGGAATTTAAAGATTTAGTTTTTGTTATTGCAACTGATAATGCAGCAAATATGATTAAACGTATTCATATTATTGGAGAATCTTATATATTTATGATTAAAAGACAACCTTGTGCAGCACATACTTTGCAATTATCAGTATATAAAGGCTTAAAATAATGTAAAAATATACATTGAAGAATTAAAAGTTTACAAAGTTTTTTTTGACATTAAAAACAAGCACAAAGATTATGAGAAGCACAGATTGCAATAACTGAATTAGATGAAAGTACTTAAATATTAACAAGTCCTTTGGATATATTAACTGATATAAAAACGTAATGGAACTCAACTTATATTGCATGGAAACGGCTTCTTAAATTGAATAATGCTATGCAATTTGTTTCAAAATCATTACTAATGAAAAGTGATCATATTTCTCAAAAGGAAGGAAAAAAATTAGAACAATTAATATTAACAATTGAAGAAAAAAGTAAGTAAAATTTTTATTTTAAATTAATATTACTTTAAAATTATTAATATTAATATAAAAAAATTTAATTATTATTATTTTGTTCAAAAAATGGTTAAATTATTAAAGCCATTTGAGGATATAACGCGAAAATTATCAGATGCTAAATATATAATACATAATATGATGCATCTATATATGTATATGCTTAAAAGAATGTTTGCTTTAAAAATTGGTGAAACATTAAGTGATTATTTAAATCTTATATATGGATCAGAAAATTCTGAAAATGAATGTGTGAAAAAAAAATTATAATTCCAGTTCTACAAATGATGATGATAATATGCTAACTGCTAGAAATCAAAAACATTGGCAGTATGTTCATCGACAAATTTAACAAAGAATGCAAAGCAAAGGAAAAGGAAGAGGATGAAATCGGAGATGCAATTATAGATATAGAATTATTCGTGGATTTAATTATAAGCAAATAATAAAATTGAAAATACCAATAAAATAGAATGCTTACTTCCAGCTGATACTAAGGATCTATTTTTAAAAGTTTGTGTTGCAATCTTTCTTTCTTTAGATGAATTATGGAATATACCAGATGAAATTTTTTGGTTGCAACTATATTAGATCCTTGGATGAAATCTTTTCCATTTGCAGATGAATCTGATCGTATAGAATTACAATTACAAGCTGAAGATATATTAAAAAATTTGTATGATAAACTTAAACAAGATATTATTTCAAAAAATATTGAAAAAAGAATTCCAGCAATAGCTCTCTACTGTCACACCCTCGGGACCAAAAATAAAAAGTGTGACTATAGTGATAAGTGACTATATAGAAGGATTTTTTTATAGTATTACTAAGTATTGGTTCCAAAATGATGTGACTATAATAACATTGTGATTATAGAAGGGTTTTTTTATATAGTGTTAATAGAAACTGGTTTTTATGAAAGGTGTTGCTTATAACGGAGGATTTATATAATGTGATTGTAAAGGGGGTGACTGTATTTGCAAAATTGTGGGCTGATAATCAATCAGAAATCTTAATACAAGATAATGATGAATTTACACGATACTTTGGTTATCCCATTGTACATAAAAATGTTGATCCCTTAATTTGGTGGCAAGAACATAAAGCAAGCTATATAGCGCGCAAATATCTTTCGATTCCTGCTACATCGGTTCCTAGTGAACGATTATTTTCAGATGCAGGTAATTGTATCTCAGCAAAAAGAACGCAATTAGCTCCTGATTTAGTAAATCAAATGTTATTTTTAAAACGAAATAGTTTATGTTTCCACCTCAAGAAACTGCTTAGTTTTTTTCTTTCGATTTAATTTGTTATATAAATACAATAATAAAGAAATAATTTGTTATTTCATTTATAAAAAGATTATAATTTGATTGTAAACTTTAATTTATTATATTATAAACTTAAATTTGAATTGATTTACAAATGTTACGCTAATAAATTATGTGGTTAATTGCATCTTTATAAAAACCTTAATAGTACATACAGTACAGGTAAATAGAAAAATTGAAAACTAAAAAAAAAATAAAAAATAAAAAAATACATACCACATGAACTTTCGATGGTTACGGCTCGCAACGATTCAATACGCCGCCTAAAAAAAAGAATAACTTAATTTAATGAAAAATATATTAAAAGAAACATAACTATGTATCCAATCTGAATCATCTAAAAAAAGAAAGATAAAATAGATAAAACGAATTATAAAAAACTTTTTATGGATCACAACCTGAAAAGTGTTCTAAAGAAAAGAAAAGGACGCAATCAAATGTTTATCGTTCTAACCAGATTTTATTGCATAAGAAATTTTTTTCGTTAAGCAAAAAAATATAAATATTTGCATACAAAGCATTACGAAAGTTCTAAACCTCATTAGCAGTTGAGGCTTTTTCGGATGCAATAAATCCGGATATAATAAATCCGGATTGAATCAGAAGAAACCGGATATAATAAATTCGGATTAAATCCGGTTCCAATTTTTTGAAAATAAATAAATCCGGATATAAAAAATAAATCCGGTTCCTACCTCTAGATCTACGGTTATGGATAATCAAGTTCGGATATGGCAATTTCGAACCATATTGGAAAATTTATTTGTGGCAAAAATTATTTGGTCTTTCTTTTTATAATGATAAATCATCCTTTTTTGACATCATTAAATTTGTGTTTGATAATTCTATTCTGAAGTATAATTTTTTCTCACATTGAAAAAAAATAAAATTTTTAATAAAATGCTTTTTGCAACCATTTTGGTTTTTATATCTTTTATTACTTACAAAATTTATCAAACCTTAAGAATACCCACAGGACTTAAAGATGTACCTACGTTAAGTTATTTTGGATTTTTTAAATCTATGCTCACTAATGAAGGTCCTGCCAAACGTTGGGAAGATTCACGAAATGTTCTTGAGCAAAATGGAATTGGAAAAGTAACCAGTCTTATCATTCTTATCGTTATATTGATTTATTAAGAAAATTTCCTAAAAAAAAAAAAAAATAAAATAAAATTATAGTATTGGTTCAATGGAGAATGGTGTGTTGTTACTACCGATTTGGAACTTACAAAAGATCTAATTGCGAAAACTGGTTAGAATTTTTTTTGTTTATTTTGTTGATCCCTTATTTTGTTTAACATATTAATTTGAATTAGATTTGTATCCTAAAACATCGCTCGAAGAATCGTTTCCTGGATCTTTATTGGCCAGTTACTACGGTACAAACGTAGTATTTTCCAACGGAGATGTAAGTACATTTGAAATATATCTAATTATAACATGTTGTTTGACTGACATTCTGAATGCTTTATTGCTATGTAGGTTTGGAAACGTCATCGGTATGTATCGTTAATTTAATTTATCAAAAATAGATTATAGAATTAATATTTTTTATATTCTAGGTATAATACAAATCCTGCGTTTAAAAGTCTACCCATGCACGTATTTGATGAATCTGCTTTAAAATTTCTGAAGGTCATCGAAAAAGTTGATAATGGACCAATAGAGATAAAAGGTCTTATGGATAGGTAAATAATCTAAATTTTTTTTTTTTTTTGTAATTAGAACGAAAGTTTTTAATTTATGAACTATTTATTTAAGAGTGACTTTAGACGTACTTGGAAAAGCCGCTTTCGGATTTGATTTTAACGTAAGTTATATTATATATATAATATAAAATAAAAAGAAAAAAATAATGATTAGAGAATTTTTATTATTTAGAATCTTGAAGATCCAACAAATGATTATGTTACTACATATCATGAAGTGACAGAGGAATGTAATAAACCAATATATTTTATTTGCCCATTCATTAAATACATCCCATATTTTAATCGTACTGAAGCACGTAAAAAAGCCGCAAAGATGAATTATTTATTTAACGGCCTTATTGAAAAGAAACGTAAATCAATGGAAACAGATGAATTGAGTAAAAAAATAGACAATAATTCAGCTGATTTATTAGAATGTATGATAAACGTTTCTAACAATCCGAAATATCCCATGTCAGACGAAGAAATGCGAGTAAGTATCATAATTTGATATAAACCTTTCTCAAAGCTAAATTTATTTGAAAATTTATTTAATTATGATCTTTTTGAATTTATAGCATAATCTTGCAATATTTATGTTAGCTGGACATGAGACTAGTAAGAGAACTTTTTA